CCAGCCCCCAGCCCCGCATCCCGGACCCGCCGCGGCTCGGGGTCCGCGGGTTTCTCCCGCTTACGGGGCTCTGCCTTGCAGCGACAGGGCGTTGGGGAGCCCAGCGTGTACCACGCTGTGGCCGTCATCTTCCTGGAGTTCTTTGCCTGGGGGCTGCTGACCACGCCGATGCTGACGGTGAGTGACCCGGGGTGGGACCGGCTCCGGTCGACGAGAGGGCACCTGGGGCTGGCGAGGGGGAAGACCTTAACGCCGGCCTTTGGCGTGCGGGGAGTAGAAACCAGCATGTAAGGGTTTGTACCTGAAAATTCTTTGTGTGAATAAGCTGGAGCTGTAGTATTTTTTTTTTATGGAGTGGGGCAATTATTTTCTTATTTATTAAAATTTAACTTGGAGCAAAGCATGAGTTAGATTTTTGATATCTTTTGGAGGATTTCAAGAAAGCAGGACTGAAAGACCTGACCTGAAATTACTAGAATTTACCGGTAGTTCACAATCAAGTTGAGTGCTGAGGAACTTCAGCTTTATTAAAGCAAATTAAAATCTCATCTCAGATACTTAACTAGAGATGCTTCTCTCATATCTACTTAACTAGAGAGACTAAACTGTCTTCTCTCCTTAACTAGAGATGCTTCTCTCATGTCTGCTTAACTAGAGAGACTAAACTGTCTTCTCTCCTTAACTAGAGATGCTTCTCTCATATCTGCTTAACTAGAGAGACTAAACCATCTTCTCTACTTAGCCAGAGATGCTTCTCTAGTTAAGAAGCTGTAAACTTCTATTTGGGAACTTCAGGAAGAATTCTCAGCTGTTTATGTTCATTTTCTGGTGGTGGTATGCCAGGTCACATTGAAGTCTAATGTGCTGTACATGTTTTTGATCTGATCTCTGATATCTAGGTAACTACAGAGTCTTTTTTTAATGCAAAGACGTTTAGAAATGTGGCGTTAGCTTAGTAGCAGGAAATGCCAGTCAAACATAGACAGTGCAAAAGGGGGAGAGAACAGACAGGTTATGTGGTCGCGGAAATCCAGACGGTGCGGGGATGGAGCAGGGCATGTTTCTGATTATCTTAGCCTTGCCCAAGTGTGCCGGAATAATTTATAGACCCGGGAAGTGTTAAAGAAAGTGGCTGGCCGTGCTGGGGAGGGGAGGTGGAGCTCCTCGTGCCGGTGCAGCAGCGGCGTTGCTGGTCGTCCACCTCCCGTTTTCCCCGCCGTGCTCTGCCAGGCGTCTGGCTGTCAGGTGCTGGCAGAAATTAATGGAAATTTTGCAAAAGTTGCTAGCTCTGGTTTTTGTTTGTTTGGTTTGCCCCTAGGTGTTACACCAGACTTTTCCGCAGCATACGTTCTTGATGAATGGCCTGATTCACGGAGTCAAGGTGAGGAATATTCCTTCCAGGCTTTTGTTTGAATCTGCAATCAGTGCAAGAGGAAAAAAGCCATTAGAATCTGTGTCATTTGCCGATGTCAAGCAGTGTTTGACAGATATGTTTGTAGTTCAGTTTGGGGTGGTCACTGGCAAACCTAATGCAAAACAAAGAATTGACGGAGCATAGAAATCTGGTAGCTCGTGTAGTCGATTTTACTGAGCGTTATTAACAACATGCTGCTTGACGGCATGGGTTTGGGGCCTTAATAGTTGTGTGCTTCAGCTGAAAATATTCCAAATCAGCATGAGATCAGGCCTGCACCTGTATTCTGGAGCATAACAAAATAAAAACAAAAAAAAATCAATGACATCTGAACTTATCAGTAACAGAAGTCAGAGCTAAGCTGGCCTTAGTGGGCTCTCCCGAGGCAGAAGGTTGGGACTGAGCTGTGGCACAATGAGTTTGGGCTAGACCAGCGTTCCCCGAGCAAAATTGGAGGCAACTATAGCGGACAAGCAGTAGCCACCTGTTCTGACTCAGGAAAACAGATTTTTAGGCTCTGGCTCTGGCAGGAGGGTCTCAGGAAACGGCTTTGCTGCGACTTGGGCACTCCTGTATGCACTGAAGGGCTCTTCCCTGCCCATCTCGGGTTTGAAAGACTTTGAAAGGCACTGAACAATTTTATTTGTGCTTGATGGCCCTGGCATCTCATCGCGTCTGTCTCGTCTCCATCTAGAAGAGAGCTTTCCCTGGAACTGCAGCAGATGTTAGTGTGGTGGAGCTGTGCCAGGCTCTGTTCAGGCGCTGGCTGGGCAGCTCCCTGCCGCGCAGCCGTGCCCGGGAGACCGCAGCTGGCGGCCGGGCGCTTGCCGGGAGTGGGGAGCAAC